TTTTTGTCTTTTATTTAAAATTACAAATAACAGATAACGTTTCATTTCAATAATCGAATCAATGTTAAATAATCGATGTTCAATTTTGTCTCCGGAATAATTACGTTCATTTGCAAACAAGCAATAAGCAATTACACGATGATTAATAAGTAACAGTTAAAACTTTATTTATAAATTCATAAATTTCATTATCTCCAATGATTCTCATTTAGATAAGAACAATAATCAATCATCAGATAGAACAACAAGTAATTATTTTTCTCTTTTATTTAAACTTCCAAATAACAAATAACGTTCGATCTTCGATAAACATTTAAACCCGCATTCGCTTATACGATGTTCGATTCCGTCCCCGGCACAATTACGTTCGTTTTAAAGCTGCTTCGTCGGATGGTTCTGCAACGACCGCATTTTTCATTCGTTCGTTTAGCCTGTACGTTACCGAACTCGCAATGTTCCACGCGTCTACTCCCTTAGATCTTCGTTTCTTTCCAGGAGATCGGAGCGCGCCCGCGTCTCCGCGACGGCAGCACGGCAGCCGGGAAACTTCACATTTGTTTTCGTTTCCCGAGTTCCCGGAATGAAATAGGAATCGCCCGGAGTTGCTTCGCGGAGAGTGCCGCGAACTTCCGTGAAGTTTCGATTATTTGGAATTATTGCCGCGCCGCCGAATCGATTCCACCGTTTATAAACTTCCCGGAACAATGCGACACCGGCGCGATTCGCGGCGGGGGAGGGGTGGATACGCAGCTGCGGTATACAGGTGAGCAATCCGAAGTTTATTACCAATTGGCTGCGGATTTCAGGAATGCATACCGCGAACTGATCGGTCAATTTGCGCGGAGGATATCGCTGCGGAGAAACGTTGCTGTAAGATATTCGTGAAGACATGGCCGCGTCTCCAAGAATTTAATCGTTGGCAATTATTAATTCGCGACAGATTTTATAGTGTAAAGATTTTTAAGCAAATTCAGCGGTTATATTTAACAATTTTTGTTATCGATTCCGCTCGTAATCGGTCGAGAAATGTTGAGTAGCTCGATTTAGTAGCGGCACTTGCAAAAAACATATACAGTAATATCTCTTTAATTATCTAATTATCTTTCTAATTAATATCGCTCAGATTTTACATAAAAATGGACAATTTGGAAAGAGGAGATACGATTATTCAAGCCTTGTTTGTTTTTATAGCTACGAATCGTCAATAATTATAAAAACGAGCCGCAAGGCTCGAGTAACGGAGTAATAATTACAATTAACAGGCTCTTACTAGAAATCTCCATTACGAGTTAGATTCGTCAAAATACGACAATTTATAAAACATAAAAGATATCAAAAGAAAATAAAGAAGTATCAAATATTGTGATTTTATCCAAGTCGCTGTATCGTGCGAAGTTTAAATAGATCCAATCATGTAATTATAGCAAACGAATGTACAATAGATTGCATATACCATTTAAACTAAAATTAATCGTACAATGTACATTAAAAGTTCCAATTGTATGGAATACGCGTTTCAGAAAGACAAAAAATGTCGCCGCATCGCAGAATTCTCGCCAAGCTTGATCGCAGCACACGATATCAACATTAGATAGACAGTAATGTCTCCCATACTAACGCTCAGATTGTCCACTAAAAAATGGATAATTTCGATACGATTATTCGAGCCTTGCGGCTCGTTTTTATAATTGTCGACAATTTATAACTATAAAAATGAACCGCAAGGATCGAATAATCGTGCCTTGTCTTCCCTAATTGTCCATTTTTGTGGACAATCTGAGCGTCGGTTAGGGAGACATTACTGTAATTTGGTAAAGAATGTCAAGGTTATATACCTTTTTTAATCATTTAGCTATTTTCGACGGATATACTCGCCACGGAGAATCGTGAACATTTCAATTCAATTCAACCTTTTTAATTTAATTTATTCATTCATGCATACGGATGGAAAAACCTTTTGTTACAGAAGTCCAGTAAACTCTCCCTAATTTTCCTTCAGTATACCCACCACGAAGAATTGTGAACATTCCAATTAAATTTAACCGTTTCAATTTAATTGATTCATTCGTGCATATGGATAGAAGAACCTTTTGTTACAGAAGTCCAGTAAACTCTCCCTAATTTTCTTTCCGCTTGCAAATAAAAATGAACAAAATTTAGGAAAAGTAGATACTGTTACGGCGACTTGTCCAAATCAAGTCGCTGTAATGTGAAACTGCCCTGTTGTGAACAACTCCTTAAAGAATAATAGAAGGGGTTGCCAAATAATAGGGGTTGCCACGGAAGAGTGTTACCAACGAACAATCGAAGAGTCGAGATCGAACGAGCAACATTTCAAATTGAAAGATCTAAGATATAATTGTATCGAGTTGTGTTATAGTTAATGTTCTTTATTGTAAATAAAATGCGGCGACGCGAGAGAAATTGAGTAATTCGCAACAATACGATTATTCCTTTTTATAATTAGTGACGATCGGCAACTATGTATAAAAATGAGCCGCGAGACTCGGATAATCGTATCTCCTCTTCCCAGATTGTCCATTTTTATGTACAATCTGAAGAAAAACTAGACAAAATTTACTGTAATAGCAAACGCGCGAATACAAACAGAGAAAAAAAAAGTTAAAAAATATCGAAATAAGCTGAAATATGTATATATATCAGCTTATTTCGATATACATATATACATATGTTTTTGTACTATAAAGAGTACAGCCGTCAAAAACAACGAACTAATTAAAAGGGACGCAAACAAGCCTCGAATCGAACAGATTCTGGAAAAAGTTCTCACCGACGACGCAACCGGGGACAATTAGCCGCGCTCGTGCCGGTAATTACAATCTCACCGGCAATTAATCCGCAACCGAATCGCAGCTGCGTCACGATCCGCCGTTGCATAGGCGCGGCGACCAAAATTCTTCAAACGTTCGGCGCCGCTGAAAATAAAATACCGGATCGCGCGTACGCACGCCACTGGGCCGGTGTCCCGGGGCGCGTTCATTGCGATTTAGGTACGAAGACTGCCGTGAAACCGGTCGCATAGATCCTGGCCGAGCACCGCATAGTGGTCAACGAATCGACCAGCCCGGTGGACAGCGGCGATGCGTTTTGGCATCGTGTTCGCGTCTCCGCAAGCTGCACCGCGACCACGCGGTTGCGGACGCCATTCCGCTCGACCGCTGCCGATTCGGTGTCAAACGAAAACTGCGGAAAACTGACGGACGATGCTTGTACGTGTGTGTGTGTGTGTGGACGCGCGCCGCGGCACGACAAAAGGTCGTTAATTAACGCGAGCAAGTTCTGAGAACGACCGCCGTGGATCGAAGAGCTTTGGCAGACGGACTTCGCCGGGCGTGTTTCGATCGACGACGGTTGAAAAAGACCGCTCGTTAACGGGCCAGATCGAATCATTCCGCGGTGTAACGTAACAAACGTAGACGATGCTTCCGGCGAGGTGGCGCGATCGGGTTTAATTAAAACCGCCCGCCGCGCCCCGCGCGCGTCGCTTTGTCCGTTAACAACGCGAGCATTAATTAATAATCCGGGCAAGAAGCGGAACGACTACGCAGTCGCTTAGAGCGGAGCTTCATCGTCGGCGAGCCAGCCCTTCGAGAGCTTCTCGAAGCCTCGACTACTTAATTATTAATGTTCCCGTGTTTACATAGACCGGGGGATCGCGCGTGCGCCGGCTCTCGCAGCTGCAAGCTGCAATTATAATGCCGGCGATCCTGAAAATTCCCTGTTAACTCGTTCAGGCGTACTGATTTTACCGCCGCTAGAACTAAGGAAAACACAGGTCGAAACCATCGGTTACATTGTTTTCTGTAACAATTTACCGACGATGTAAAAATGTTTCTACGAGAGATTTTTAGACGAACTGTTTTATCAACCCTTTGCACTCGAGTGGCGATTCTGAGGCATCGCTAAAATTTGTTATATCACGTTCTATGATCATTTTTACATCAACAAAGTTTAGATTTTAAAAAATTGTTACAAGTGTAACCGTTGCGTAAGTCGCAATTTTAAGTTTCAATTTTGCATGTGTAAAATGCACTTTGTAGTATAAAATGAAGATACTATAAGTCGGAAAAATTATTTTAGATTTACAGTTGAAATAGCTTCGAGTGCAAAGGGTTAATCCCTCGACGTACCATTTTTTTCGTGATTGCGACGATCGGAAGTATTTCGATTGTAACAATTTATAAGAAGGAAAGGGACAATTTATATGTCTGTTGTGTGTCTACATTTACTTAAACGTTTAATTACTGATGGTCAGACGATCAGTCAGTTTTATTCAGACTAAAAAGAACGGAGTAATAATTATAATTAACAGGCTCTTACTAGAAATCTCCATTACGAGTTAGTCTAGTCAAAGTACGGCAATTTATACAAAATAAAAAAGAAAATAAAGAAGTATTAAATATTGTGATAGAAATCGTGCGAAGTTTAAATAGATCCAATCATGTAATTATAGCAAACGAATGTACAATAGATTGCATATACAATTTAAACTAAAATTAATCGTACAATGTACATTAAAAGTGCAAGTTGCATGGAATACGCGGCTTAGAAAGACCAAAAATGTCATCGCAACGCAGAATTCTCGCCAAGCTCGATCGCAGCACGCGATATCAACATTAGATATACAGTAATGTCTCCCATACTAACGCTCAGATTGTCCACTAAAAAATGGATAATTTCGATACGATTATTCGAGCCTTGCGGCTCGTTTTTATAGTTGTCGACATTTTGTAACTATAAAAATGAACCGCAAAGATCGAATAATCTTGTTTTCCTACATTGTCCATTTTCGTGGCGAATCTGAGCGTCAATTAGAGAGACATTACTGTATCTCTCTATTGTCGATTTTTCGAGGAGATTTAACGCTTTTATCTGCAGCAACCAGGTCTAATATCGTGGACAATGGTGTGGACCTTCAGGGATCGGGTAGCACAAGGATACGTGTCGCGCGGAAAGAGGAGCAGAAATCCGGTTCTCACCTGAATGACGGTCGCCAGAGGACTTTTGTTGGCCGGATAGTCGAGGCTGTCCCGGTGCGCCCACGCCAGTGGCTCGTAGGTGCTGTGATTCGCCTGAAAAATGGTCCAGTCACCGCCAGGAAGTGGTCCCCAGGCTGTTTCCCCGGATCTGGTTAATCGTAGAATAGGGGAGGCCGCGTTCAGCTGAGCATCCTGCGGATGAGAGAAAGAGCCGATCTCATTTAGCCGGCTGTTGGAAAACTTCTCGGACATTGTCAGTCGACTCGACTCGACTCGACTCGACTCGACGAGAGAGACCTGAACTCGACGCGACGTGACGCTCGAGTCAACCCGGTTCTCCCGGGCGCTCTTCTATCCGCGCCGCTTATTCGATCCCTCTTTTTTTTTTGTTCGCCGTCGGTTTACACGCGACGAGTGAAACGGCCCGACAAAAGTCGGAAATTAGTTCCCTTGTTCCGATTCTATTACGCCTGTTGTCCGAAGGGTTAAAAGCCGGTGAAAACGACAAAGCCGCGTTGCCGCGTTGCCGCGCCGCTTTTTCACCGGCCGCCGCGATTTTAATGTCACGTTTTTAACGGAAACATGCCGCCCTCCCCTCCCACCGCTCCCGTCATCGCCGTTTGATAGACTATTGCGGACTTTTTGAAATCGATTTCGTCGATTTCCTTCGGGTCCTTGTGCGACAAATGGGTGAATATCGGCGATTTACGAAACGGTAGCCCCTCTTTTAACCTGTTAGCTGTGTTCGACGAGTATACTCGACATGGAGAAGCGGCAGGATTTTGTGCCATGACGAGTATAATCGTGTGGAAAAGATAGTGATCATTGGTATAAGATTGTAATTGGCTAAAATTGTAATTTTAGCGAAAACAAGAACATATTCTCAAATTTCAAGATGTTTAGAATATTTTGAATATTTTTCTGCTTTTTTTTGTTTATTATGTATGCAGTGTATGTTAATGTTAAGTGAACAAGTAAATATTAGTAATGAACTAGTAATATTATATAATATATTAATAATATTCCAGTATATAATATATTAATAATATACTAATAATACACTAATATATAATATACTAATAATATACTAATAATATACTAGTAATATACTAATATATAAATATTAATAATTGCACTCGAATGATGACTCCGAGGCACCACAAAAATTGTTACATCACGTTCGAAGATCATTTTCATATCATCGAAATTTCGATTTTAAACATTATTAAAAATATAACTATTGTACCAATCGCGAGACTCAATTTCGTACTCATAAAATGCACTTTGTCGTATAAAATGGAAACACTGCGAATCAGAAAAATTATTTTAGAATTACAGTTAAAATGGCTTCGAGCGTAAAGGGTCAATTTTATAGAATAAAACCGTCTTTTTGATCCAGTATTTTAACAGCGACGTTTACTCTGTGTTCGACAAGTATACTCGTCGTCGCTTGATTCTTGCGACACGTATAAATGCCGCGCTCTGAAAAAGAGACGCCACAACTAACTGGTTAATCGTCGTGATGTCATCTCCGTCTTACAAAGAGTACAGCCAAATGTGCTCTAAAAAATTCCCTGGAATCTCTCTGAATTTGTTCGTTAATTCTTCTCAATTTTTCCTAATTCTTTCGAATTCTTCCTAAGTTTGTTTATACGGTAAATTCTCCCTAATTTTCCTTCAGCTTGTAAACAAAAATGGCCACTTTTCGAAAGAAACGATTACTCGAGCCTTGCGTCACGTTTTTACAGTCATTGACGATCGGCAACCATAAAACTGATCCGCAAGGCTCGAACAATCGCGTCTTCTCTTCCCAAATTGTCCATCTTCGTGCGCAATTTCAGCGCGAATCAGGGAGAAATTGCTGCAGTTTCGCAACGATCCCGTACTATCCGCGCACCGAGGGCGTTACTAGAGCGAAAAAACGGCGGCGCGATAATTAATCTTCGTTAAGGTGTTCCTCCTTTCATCGTGCGTGCCGCGGAGAATGCATAAAATCCGTGGCGGCGCCTATTTATCGCGAAGGTTCCGTCGGTCGTCGGGCAAATATTTCATCCCGGAGGGAACGGGCCTCGGAGGATCGTTCTCGAGAACGTGTTGCACGATCGTCTCGTGAAGAAAACAAAGAGAAGAAGAGAGGAGGAAGAAAAAGGGGGGCGATCCCGGGCGTAATGCCGCGGTAATCACAGAGTGCGGGCCCGGGCACGTGCGATCTCACGCGATATGCAAATTGATTCGGCGTGCCGGCCTTACCCGCTAAGAGGCATTTGTCGTATTGCGGGCCGGCGATAATCGCGCGAGGTCGACGCTTTCGCGAGCCTTTTCTTCCGTGAAATAAAGTCGCCGGTCCGTTCCGTCACGGAAACGGAGATTGCCAATCGCCGGGTCTCGCTTTCCGACGGAACGTGTCGCCGAAACTTATTTTTCGCCGGCCTGCGGACTATTTTAGCAAAATCGCTCGACCGCAACAAACAAACTGTGCGACGAAAGTAACAAAAAAGAAAAATGTGAGAAATCCAGAGATTCTGATAATTTTTTAAACGCAACTTGACTTTGCTCATTTAACTCGACAAGACAACTTAGAAACACGTTTTTCAAGTTCTCGCGCCAGGTTCGGATAAGAGAGTTAAAAAATCGCGCTTTTTGGTCATTTTAAGCAACAGAAAAATTTGTGAAACTTGTTTTAGCCATTTCATTCGGTTTTTGAAAAGTTATCGCGAGCTTATTAGTTATCGAGTTAATTATCGAGCAGTGTTTTTCCGGGGGTTATAAAATGAAAATGGCGAGTTATAAATAAATACAGTTTTCTGAGATTTATTCGACAATTATAATAGAGATTCTGAAATGGAAAAGCTTGTTCATATTTTCTAAACAATATTTCTTTATCGAGTCCGATTTCTGTCGAGTTTCCTACGAAATATTCAGTGCAATATTCCGTGAAATATTTAGCGCAAGACTGCACGCAATATGGATTTTATCACGGCGATACTAATCTATACACTTCGAGCAGATTACTGGAACCGAATCATCCATGCACAGTGTCCGATTCGAGAATCCGAGACGCGGATACCCGAACCGCATTTAGATCGGGAACGTTTAATTTTAGCGCGGGAGATCCAGCTTCTGATTTCATGTGAAACAGGAGTCTCTTTAATTATTCGAAGTAGTGTGAATCAATCATTGCGACTACCTCGCGTTCGGGCTGCAGTAGCACGCGGAAACACTTAGTGCCGGTTTTATAGCCGTCATTAACATCCCCGAGTGCATTCGTTTTCCTTGCCGTGCGGCAGATATCGCGGTTCAACTATTGTACATTTTATTGAGCGATCATTCACCGTTGGACGCGTCTATTAACATGCTAGACGCGGCGTTTCTGTCGCTAATTATTCGAACACTCCACAGAATTCGTTAACAGGAACAAAATAAAGTGAACAGGAAAAAATCGATTCCAACCGTCGCACGTTTCTTTTGGATTTTTATTCTCTGCTCGAGTCGAAATTTGCGATATTTTTAATTGATTTGGCTCGAAAAATAAAAATTCAACGTACTTTTTAAGGCAGTTCATTTAATCACGTTAGTACTTTTTTATAAGCCTTCAATGAAACTAGATGAAAATTTTAATTGTCGCAAATTGTTGCAAAAATAATTTCGGTTTTTCAGATTGATAGTTCGCAAGAAAATCGAGATTATTTCTGCAACGAGCCAACTAATAGATACTCGAATAATCTTCAATGAAATTTAATGAAACTTTAATGAAACTTTAATGAAACTTTAAATGAAAATTTAAATTGTCAGAAACCATTGAGTTGTTGCAAAAATAATTTCAGTTTTTCAGATTGATAGTTCGCAAGAAAATCGAGATTATTTCTGCAACGAGCCAACTAATAGATACTCGAATAATCTTCAATGAAATTTAATGAAACTTTAATGAAACTTTAATGAAACTTTAAATGAAAATTTAAATTGTCAGAAACCATTGAGTTGTTGCAAAAATAATTTCAGTTTTTCAGATTGATAGTTCGCAAGAAAATCGAGATTATTTCTGCAACGAGTCAACCAATAGATACTCGAATAATCTTAGATCAAATTGAATGAAACTTTAATGAAACTTTCGACGAAAGTTTAAACTGTCAGAAACGATTGAGTTGTTGCAAAAGTAATTTCGGTCTCCCAGATTGACAGCTCGCAAAAATAAAATCGAGATTATTTTCGCAACGAGTCAATATATACACAGATAACAAAATTTGGGTCCAAATTGATCCGAGCACATTTAAGAAGTGCCAGTATTGCATTATTCACGACGACAATATTTTCTATATATATAAATAATAGATATATAATATAATATATCTATTATTATATATGATGATATAATTATATTCTACATATATAAATAATAGAGTATCTAAAAACTAAATAATTAGAATAGAATCACGTTTTTTCATTTCAAACGTCCCAGTATCGAATGAGAACAGCGACACGTGGAACGAGGGACAGGCGAGAGTGAATTTATGGTTGCCGAACAAAGAGGTAACATCGTAGTTCCTGTACAGGATATGTTGCAGGGATTCGCCAGCGGCCGAGTTCAGTTTCTCGGTAGTATGGTTACGAGGCGGTACTGACCTTCAATCTAAGATTAGTGTGCACGAACAGAGGAAAGCCCTTCAGCTGTGCACCGACGAGACTTTCCTCGCCGGACGGCGCGAATCCCACGATGCCCACGGAGTACTCTCTGCAGTATTTGTCCAGCAGTTCGCGGTTCCATTTGTCCATCTGCAGATACTTGTTCAGGTTCTCGAAGATCAGGACCCCGTAACGACCTTTGTCCAGGTTCGTCAGCACCGGCAGCGACTTCCCGGCGACCTCCAGCTTGTATCTGAAAGCATTACGAGAACGGTGCTTCATTCGAATCGCCATCGAAACCTTATTATACGCGCTGGTCGAACTCCGTTCGAAAGAATCCACCCATTGCAATCGGAGAAAATTGGCGGCAACTCAAGATATTTCTAAACTATTTTTTAAAGCAATTTTTTACGTTTACTTTCAGTCGATCGTGAAAAGAAAATCGACGATATTTAATTCGTTCGGACGCGTGTTAAGAAGATTATTGTTATTTATTTGCGGACTATTAGAGCCTTTTAAATAATGCATACGAAATACGTATAATTCGGAGAAAAATAAATGTTATTGTTTTTTAAGGTGTAGCTGTTTTATTTGTTACAAGTTCGAATTTCTTATCAATAAAATGCAATGAGAAAAATTAGTTTGGATTTAGAGTTAAAGCAGCTTCGAGTGCAAACGTTTGAAATTTATTCTTTGCTGATCCAGTGGGTGGCGGTTAAAGGGTTAATTGTAACTATTAATTAACTAATTAATTATTCCATTTAAGGAGAGTTTTGCGTAAAATTGTATCGACGCGGATTTCTCGTGCGAAACGTTTGTAACCTCGAAAGTATCAAAATTATTATTAAATCCCCTGAGATGTTACACTCCGTTTGATTAGTCAATTACCATCAAAGAAGAGAAAAATCAAGCCTGTTCCCCGGGGACTGGGATAATTAGTCGAGCAAGTAACAGAATCCGCAAGAACGTTCCGCTCCGGCGGTTTGCCCGATTTTCCGAATACGGCCGTCAAAATTACAATCTCCGCGGCAATTAAATCGATTCGAAGGGGACAGGATAATCGCCGGATAAATCATGCGTCCCGCGATCCAGGATACGAGCAAGTTTCCTCGTTCCAGAGCCCATTACCTACCCGGGTCTACCGTCGCCGGCCCGAGCCGTCCTTGCTTGCAGACTGTTTTAAGGCCGGCGTGGATCACGGAAGGGCGCAATAAAACGCGCGAGATTCCGTAATCTCGCGGATCCCGATCCGGAATCAGACCGATGAGAAAGAATTCACGGAACATTTACGGGCAATATCCCGGTGACAACGATCCTCGCGACGGCCTCGTCCTTCGCAGGATCGCGGCCCGAAGGGACAACAAACTCTCCTCGGATCTTCGGCCGGTTTTTATACTTCTCGCGAGATTATGCAATAAAGCAAGCATCGCTGCGAGCAAACGTGTCCTGCGGAATGGAATAAACCCGTTTCTGTCTCTCCGTTCATACCCCTGCAACCCCTAAATTGCGTTCCACGCCGACGATATTTCGAGCGGCTCGCTGCGCGACGGTTGGGGTTGAAAAATTAAAAATTCGATTTCCGAAGTTTCATGTTTACTTGCATCGAATTAATATTATTTTATTAATTAACACTAATAAATGCTTCGAGGAACAGTCAATATTTTCCGAGCGAGATTTCGTTGTATACGTAAGTAGTTTTATTTATTTTATTTATTTACGTTTGAATATATTAAGAGATTTATATATTTCTCGATTATTATATTACTCGTCGAGTATATTATATAGTATATTATTATATTATTATATTACTCGTCGATATATATTATATAGTATATTATTATATTATTATATTACTCGTCGATATATATTATATAGTATATTATTATATTATTATATTATAGTATATTATATATATTACATATATAATATTATATTATAGCATATCATATATATTACATATATAATATTATATTATAGTATATTATATATATTATATAGTAAGTAAAAAATTATGTTAAGAATGAAATGTACCGAATATAAATACGAATAAGTTACTAATGGTATTAAAATGTAACTATTTTAGTGGAAAATTGGTTTATTTCACCGATATATTTATTACACTATCTCGCCAGATAATCCGACGAGCCATTCTCGCGACAATTTCAATCCGACGAGCAGCAGCCCCGCCCGGATATTTAAAACGTCCTCACCCTCCGTCGGATATTTAAAAAGGAGGGGCGGCAATAAATACGGAGGGGCGCAAAGGAAAGCTGGAATATCGATAAGCAAACGGAAAAGAAAGGCGCGGAAAGGTTCGTTATTGTTAAACGACGTAACAAGGACACTTCCGACGAAATCCCATTTCGCGAGACATCACCGGAGAACTCTTTCGAGAATAATAAAGCAATTACACGTACAATGCACTCTTTCTCTGTGCGGCGATCGCGCGTCAAGACCTTTGTTCCACCGAAGAAAACGCGGCCGTGGTTCGACAGCCGTGTTTATTCACTCGGAAACGGAGATGATTTCATTTTCTAATTGGACGTCTCATGTTTATTCAACGGTGAACCGGCAAGTAGTACTCGAACTCGCGAAGTTCATCGAAACTGTTCGGTCCCCGGTAATGAATTCGCTCGTCTTTGTCCGACGATCGAATCCCGCTCAATTTATTCGATTTATTATCCCTTTGCTGCGGAAATGCCGGAACACTCGTTCGACGGTCTTTGATCCGCGGTATTCTATGCTAGTAATTACGGTTCGGTCGCTATTAGCCAGAGCCGGGCATTATTCGAATCACATTTCGCATAAATTCTCCGGTAAAATTTCGAAGAAAAACATTTCGAGTGAATTCGTCGAGTCGTTTTATTCGTAATATAGTTCGAGTAAGTTCTTCGAATCGAATTATATTAGCTAAATATATTTCGAGTAAATTCTACGAATCAAATTATGTTAGGTAAATATTTCGAATCAGTTCTACGAATTAAATTCTATTTGAAAAATATTTCGAATCAATTCTTCGAATCAAATTCTATTCGGAAAATATCACGAGATAATTTTTCTAATCAAATTTGATTCGGAAAATATCTGAATAAATTCTTCGAACTAAATTATATTAGATAAATATTTCGAGTAAATTCTATTCGGAAAATATTTCGAGTAAATTCTTTGAATCAAATTTGATTCGGAAAATATCTGAATAAATTCTTCGAATTAAATTATATTAGCTAAATATTTCGAGTAAATTCTACCAATCAAATTTGATTCGGGAAATCTTTCGAATACATTCATCGAATCAGATTTGATTCGGAAAATATTTCGCATAGATTCTTCGCATAAAATTTGATTTGGAAAATATTTCGCGCAGACTCATCGATTCAAATTTGTTTCGGAAAATATCTCACGCAGACTCTTCGAATCAAATTTTAATCGCAAACTATAAATAAATTAAATTAAATTGAAGACAGTAATTTAAAATAAACCTTTCAATTACAATTCGATTAAATATAATGCTTGAATTGTACAAATTCCTTGAGGTAACAGCACGACAATTAGAACATTAAGAGTGAAAATGACCCTAAAAAATAATTAATTTCTGACTCCAAACAAGTGTCATTACAACATTTGCCGCGAACAACAGCCACATCGAATAAACAACTCACAAACGTACCCCTTCGATCTGCACAATCGTACACATAAAACCAAGTGACCCGCCATTTTGATGGGTTCCGTAAAGCTAGGCGTTAATCGACGAATCGGCTCGCGGACGTCCTAAATGACAAAGAAACAAACGCTCGAAGTGGATCAACAACGGTCGGCATTCCGACCCATTAGCGAGCGGAATGGTCCGGTTATTTAGCAGAAACGGCGCTCAATTCCCACGCAGCAATCTTCGTTACTGGAAGCAACCCCCATCAAGTCCAACTCCATCCCCGGTTCCGGCCCGCTAAGGCTGGAAGTTCCGTCAACTTCGCTCGCTGATTAAACATTCAGAGCACGGTGATTAGTCGCGAAGGAGCGGCGCGGCGCGGCACGGAGAGGAGGAGGAGTTCCTTCGTGCAACAGTCTCGCAACAACGCGTCCGGTTGTCCGACCGGAAGCCCTTCGCCGCAATTCCTCGGGAAAGGGAGGGGGGGGACGCAGAGAGCTCGAAGACGAGCTCCTCCCCCTATCAACAGCTCACCCTAACCCTGGCCTGCGGGGTGCGGCGTGTTCGCGTGCTCGCGTGTCGCTGCAGAAGATCTCAGTCAACTAATGAACGAATGCCGGATAATTCAGCGGAGTAATCGGTTCGATAATTGGCGACCGCCCATTAACGACGGCCCGGCAATTTACGAGGCTAACGAACTGTCATAACGAACTCCGACGTGGCTCTTTTGTTCTTGGCCGCTGCGGCCTTGCTCGGCTCGGCCCGGCCCGGCCCGGCACGCCGATCGGCTGCCACCGGCAATTGGCCCGCGTGTGCTCGGGCCCGCGTGCACCCACGAGGAGATCCACCCCCGGGATTCAAAGGCGAGCCGTCTCCTCGCCTACACTCCCATCTCCCCGACCCTTCTCGCCCATTGAAAAACCCGCGGCCGCAATTAGGACTGTTTAGCATTCACCGCTCGCCGCTCGAGTGTCCTCGTCCTGGATTATGTCCTCCGATCGGCCCCAACCAAGTAGCCACTTCCGCCACCCCCTTCACGCTTCGGTTCAACCATCGGGGAAGGGCCGCGGACGCGGTCCTCGAGGGCGGACCGCTGGAAGACTTTAACTAGCGACGCTGCTCGTCTATTACCGGGTGTGGACGAAATATTTGCTGGGGTCGCTTTCACCGGATCTGCTGCGCGACTCGGGGATGCAACCCCTACGCTGACGGGGAATCGCTTCTCGCCGTTGCGACGAAAAATTTCAGCGAGAATGCTACGCCGCTACGGGTGCGTCGTGCTTCGGTTCGAGCGTGAAGGGGTGAGATATGAGAATCACGATGTTTGATTTTCTTTCTTTCTTTTTTTTAATGGGACATTAACGAAATTGCACTGAAATTGTTAGGATAATTGATCGCGTCGTTGAGGCATCGAGATACATTTTTATTGACGGGAAAACAAAATTGCGGCGAGAACGCACCCCGACAGGGTGTGTACGTTGGTACGAGCGTGAAGGTTTGCGATGGAAAAGATGATATTTTGACAGTTTTTTTGCGGAACGTTAATGAACCGATTGTTCTGGAATTTTTAGGGTGGTTTACCACATCATCGAAGCATCGAGATACAT